CGTTTTTTCCCATTATTAATATGTATATTATGTGATTAGATGACGTTGACAAGGTTGAAAAACTGCGTGCCGATCTTGAGCCTACGAATTCTTCGCGTAGTAGTATTCGTTTGTTTTGGGAACGTCCAGCTCGCCCGAATGGTGCAGTAGTCTCGTACACTATAATGTATGAACTGCAAACACAGGATGCAGTTGAGGAGAAGAAATGCATTACAGAAGTTGATTACACTGAGCTAGACTACCAACACAACGGCTATGTTCTGACGGGCCTGTTCACTGGCAATTACAGTATACGAATACGCACAAACTCTATGGCTGGTGAAGGAAAATTTTCGAGAACCATCTACATTTACATTCCAGTGAGTTTAGAATCAATTCTTTTTATTTTTACACAGTCTATGTTTTACTTTTTTTCGCCTTAGCCTACCACTCCATCACCAGCTCTTATAGCTGGGATCTGTGTCGCATTATTGACGTTGTTGTCATTAATTGGGGGCACAATATATTTTCTAGTTCGCAAGCGTTTTCTTACGCCGCCATCTGATTTAAAAATGTTTCCCACCGTAAATCCCTATTATATCAGTCTTCAGTATATACCTGACGAATGGGAGGTGGCTCGAGACCGGGTTATACAACTGAATCCCCTTGGTCAAGGATCGTTTGGCATGGTGTACGAAGGAATATTAAAGGGTTATAATAACAGCGCCGAGGATACTCCGTGCGCCGTTAAAACGGTAAATGAAAATGCCACGGACCGTGAGCGCATGAATTTCTTAAATGAGGCTAGCGTGATGAAACAGTTTGACACCTACCATGTGGTCCGATTACTAGGAGTTTGTTCCCGTGGCCAACCTGCGTTGGTAATTATGGAATTAATGAAGAACGGCGACCTTAAATCGTATCTTCGCGCTCATCGTCCGGACGAGCGGGATGAGTTTGGCATGACATTGGCCGAAAGAGGTCTATCCTCGCAACCCCCTCCATTAAGTCGCATTTATCAGGTAAGTCTGCAAAGAAATTGTCCCAATCAGTCATGGAGAAATGGCCATGCCGCTTTTTGCAGATGGCTATAGAAATAGCTGACGGTATGGCCTATTTGTCAGCAAAGAAATTCGTTCATAGGGATTTAGCGGCGCGCAACTGTATGGTAGCTGCTGATTTAACCGTGAAAATAGGCGATTTTGGTATGACGCGTGATATTTATGAAACTGACTATTATCGCAAGGGTACAAAAGGTATTACGTATATCATAATAAAATGTTTGGCGCTAATGAAATTACGTTTTTCAGGCTTGTTGCCAGTACGGTGGATGCCTCCAGAGAGTTTAAGAGATGGTGTATATTCCAGTGCCAGTGACGTGTTCAGTTATGGTGTAGTTTTATGGGAGATGTCCACTTTAGCTTCGCAACCATATCAAGTAAGTGGGAACTTAAAATATTTCACAATTTTGCCCATTTATCATGAATTTTTATAGGGTCTGTCTAACGATCAAGTACTGCGCTATGTCATTGAGGGCGGTGTTATGGAGAGACCTGAAAATTGTCCAGACAAATTGTATAGTTTAATGCAAAAGTGTTGGCATCATCGACCAACCGCTCGTCCTACCTTTATGGAGATTATTCGCTATTTAGCAGATTTGGCTGATCCACATTTTCGTGAAGTTTCATTTTATCATTCAGAAGAAGGACAACAAGTTCTTGCTAAAGAAGTTGCTGGTAAAAAAACATTACTTATAAGTTTACATATACATATATATTTTCTTTTTTCGAATAATTGTAAATGCAGAAAGAAATCAAAGATCTGGCGATGTGTTTGAGGAACCTGAGAACGATATGGAAGATGTAACTACACCACTGCGTATGGAAGAGTACGGTGGTTTTCAATTGGCTGAAGAAAATGACTCCTCTGGCGAGAATCAAGTTGAAAGTCCCATAACAATGAATATCGAACCTCCTCATTCGCCATGCAGGTAAATAATTTAAATGTCGTATCGAAATAAGAATCAGTAATATGTTCTGTAAATCCTTAGTCTTGGCTCGGCCATAGTTGTAAGCAGCACACCAGATGTCCAATCGAAAAATAGTCTGATTTTATCACAAAATTTGCATCATAACCAAGGCTTGAGTTCCTTGCCTTCAACATCAAGCGGTCTTGCACGAGTAAACAGTCAGTTGCAATCACATATCCAACCCCATCAGCGGCAACTCTATCCACCCTCCCAGCGGCGATTTCTTCACGGCATTGTACGAGGCACGGTAGATGATGTTGATGCGTATGTGCAGCCAGATTACGAAGAAAACGAAGAAAGAGGAAGGATCGGAACGGACGAACGTGGTTACGAACTATATGATCCAAGTCCAAACTATAGACAACAAGTTTCCTGCCATGCAGGCGATGATGAAGAGGATAACTTTGCCATACCGTCCGCAGGGCAAAACTTATTGTTAGGTTCTAGAGAACGTCAGATACTGCCGAGGATTATGCCTTTGTCGAGCTCAGTGCCTGATGACGTTATAGGTCAACCAACTGCATCTTCATTACACCCTTCCACAGCTTCTGCTGCGTCATCGAATACATCTTCGAAAGCAACAACGACTGGCAAATATTCTAACCTAAAAGCTGTTGCCGATTCTTTAGGCAATAGCTTGATGCCTACCCTTTTGCGTAAAAATATACGCTTTTTCAATCACAAACGTTCCGGTAGCAATGTAAGCCACAATAGCTCCAGTTCTAATCCATGCGCACCAATTAGCGGAGCCGGTGATGGGAGTAGCAGTAACTTGACTCGTGGCGGCCGTGGCAAAAGTATGAGCGGTCAAAACTTGGGAACCATAGAAAGTGGAGGTAGTGGGAGCGCGGGCAGTTTTTGCTCCAATCCACGATTTTTCACACCAGCAGCGAGTATAAGTGAAAATCCTAATTACCGAAGGCTGAATGAATCGTCATCCGTTGAAGGTGGTGGCGACGCAAGTAAACTGAAACCAAAACTTCCCTCAACTTCTACATTTACTATCAGTTCCAATCCCAACTATCAAATACTGGACGAATCTCTCAATAGTTCGGGAACGTCTTCGGCAAATCCTAATTATCAATTGCAAACGTGTCCAATAACAACTACATCCCAAAGTAGTGAAAATGCCAACTATGTAATCATGAGTGAACCGCAGCAGAATGAAGATATCGGAAATACCGTGAATGTAAGTGAGAATCCTAATTATCAGATGATGGGTCCCTCTCTCTTACTCGCTACAACTGCCACCGAAATGCAAGCCACTCAGCTTGAGCGCGACCGTTTGGATAAGTTTTCATGTTCACCATCGTCATCTTCCTCTCCGCATGAATCCGAAGAAGATTTTGAAACTACCGACGGGATGAAAATGGATCGGATACCGTTAAGTCGGCGAAGCAGCAATAGTCAATCCCAACATAAACGCAACAGCGATCGAAGTCGAAGCAGCAGCGGTCATAGCCATGCTACAACACCGACTAATACACCCTCAACAAGTACTGGAGGGCATGGAACACAGCTAAGGCTAATACCAACGTCTACGTTTTCGCTCAAGGAAAAATGGCTGAAACAGCAGCAACAACAACAATCCTCACCACCACCTCCACCAAACGGTTTTGTAGGACGAGAAGCGTAGAATCTTGCTGCAGCTATATCCTGTAAATAGCTTATGTTTGCTTATCCACAAAAAATATTAATCAGGCGCACAAAAAAAAATGTGTACGAATTTTAAAAACTCCCTAAGCCAACAAGCTTCGTTTATAAAGTGAGAGCTGAACAAACGAACTGTATATAGGAAATATATATATATATATATATATTTTCTGTAAAAAATAATGAGGATTTTCCCACACTTTCTTTTATGCGAAAAGAACAAAACAAAACAAAGAAAATCACATTATAATTTAATACATAAGACATCACGTCATCGTTATTTTGTGAAACCTTCAAATTAGAATTAGCCACACCAATCAAAAAACAACAAACTGTTGCATTAAGAACACATTAAAAGAACGATAGGTTTATATAATGTTCACTATTTACATCAAATTACATGCTTATTTACATTCATGCATATATAGGTACATACATGTATATTAGATGTACACGGTTTGGTACAACTTCATGGAATTATTTTTCAGTTTCATTATGTACACATGTAGGAGGAAATGCATACGTACGTTTGTGAGCTACTTGTAAGCTTACTGTAATCCGGTTCATATTACGTACAGAGTCCGTTCATATGCAAAAGCTAATTATAAAAGTTTGAATAAGACGGTAAGGATTCGGACAGAAGATTTCTAATACATCAATTGACATTTTCATATGGTTCCATCATAGACTTCCATTTAATCACAAGATCTTTTGAATGCTTTTTTAAAAGTATCCGGCTGAATTTTGCCATATTCTTACAACATCCAAAAATATGAATCAGCGAACACATAGGTATAAAATTAAGAATATAATTCTATGCTTAGTTAGTCTTGACTGTCCTTTCTTTTACGGGCTTCAATTTTCGTATTCTGAAGATCACGAAGCGTAAAATAGCAGATTGCAACTCCATAGACACAATCTTGGAACAATTTTACAAGAAAAGCTGTAGAGTGGAACTGTTCCAACCACATATGAAAAATGTCAATATTTTTTGAAAACATCAGAATATATTCAGGATATGTTAAGCAATAATTTACGGTATGTAAGATAAAAAGCTCGGCATCTGAAAACGAAATTTGAAAATCAATCATTTTTAAATTTGTTCAAGAAATTCTATATCGATTTGTTCTATTCCGCTCTTTTCCTTCTGTCCGTTTGAAGCAGTTTATAAGACTGATGGGAATGTAAAAACTTCTTTTTATACGTATTTTTGGAATAATGGCGGAAATAAATCAAAAAATATCCGAAAGATTCGGGTGGTAGGTTCTGACATGATTTCAAATTTCAAGATTGCACATAGATTTCTCTTCATCTAAAAATAGCTTAAAAACAAGACCATAAATTATGTATGTTTACGTGTTTACGGATGTCTACACAGGTTTTTGGAAAAACTTTGACTTCAATTTTGGTTACGCATTTATGGAAAAGACGCTCATTTTCGTTAAGGGTTAAAGGTTTGATCTTGTTGTAAAAAGAGTAGTTTCGTCCTAATTGGTCCGCAATAAACTCTGAATTGTAGTCAATTTTGTAATTAATTGAAACAAAATTTAACAGAAGATAAAAATACCGTCCGGTTACCCATAACTTTGTAAGATGTGATCACTTAATGATACAAACTTGAATTTAAGCGACGTACTGTAAAGTTTCTTTCATGTAAAATTGTAAAAAAGTCTTTTGAAATTATTCTAAATATTATTTCATACTTTTTTATTAAAAAAAAAAAATTGATTGAATCTGTATTAAAAGATTCTTTAAAGTTTACTAAAAGAGCTTCTATAAAGAAATTTTAAGGAAAGTTTGGATAAACAAAAACCATCCTAAGGCGACTGAATGTATCTTGACTTTCTCGTCGTATTGCTGCTGTTGTAGAAGCTGGAGTAATTGCGACATACGATATATAAACACGTGCATAATCATCATCATTATTGTTCCTATCAGTATCGTTAAAAAATTAATAGTAAAAACTATAACAGCAGCCATGCCATGTATATATGATTGTGTTTATATATATGTATGTATGGTTGTATGTACACATATATGCATAGATAACGATCAGAGTACAAAACCCAATTTTTATTTTACTGAAACATAAATATATAATAGTTAAGCTTTTATAGAGTCTTTCTCTCTCACTCTCTCTTACTCTTTCTCTCCATCGCTTTTCCACAAATTATCCTTTTTTTTCTGTTTAAGTTAAACGCTAATAATTAAAACGACAAGGATAAAAGAAAGTATTGGGTGTGTATTGAGTGTATGTGTGAGTGTGTTTATTGACACGCGCATGCACATGCACACATGCCTACAAACACATTAAAAACCAGCTAAATATGTAGATAGATACAGATTATATATTATTTTGCTCGTAAGCGACAAATTGTAGATATCGCATATGATCGCTTATATAGGACGATCAATCAATCAACCAATTTAAAAAAAAATCACACAATAAAAAGTAGCTATTTATACATAATTAAGAGGAAATTTGAATAATTAACACAAATATGCCCAAACATACATATACACACACGCATACACACAAACACACGAACACACACATACAAATACAAGTACAGGCATACACATAAATACAGATTTGTTTACTATGCAAACAATAGATATTTTTTATACTAAAAAGACTGAAATATATAGTTCCTTTGTTCTTATGTAAATTTATATTTATAATAAAAACAAAACAACAACAAAAAAAGAAAAAATGTTTAAAAAAATATATATATAAATACCATACATTAGAAAGCATCTTTACGTAATAATAAAACACATTGGAATTCATGCCGTGTTGCTATTATTATTATTATTATTATTATATTATCATGATTACACTGCAAACTCAACTAAACCTTATTACTATTAAAAAAAAAACAAAAAAAAAACAAAAAAAAAAAATGAAGAGACACGATAACAGTAGTAAATAAATTAAGTAAATCTCTACAAGAAAAGTGTATAAAATGATTACAATTAAAAAAAAATAAAAATATAAAGTGGTATCCATAACCTAAGAAAACATAAAACCATTTACTTACACTTAAATGCGGACGCATACACATACATTGAAAATAATAATAATAATAATTTATAAAATACCATAATTTAATTTTTTATTTTTTTTATTTAGTGTAAGTATCTCTATAAACTGAAGCTAAAGAACATCATTATTATTAGTATGTATACAGCGAACGATATGAAAAAAGGACACAAATACATATATGTATGCATAAATACATACATATATACACATATGGACACAAGCCAGAAATACCTACAGACACATTAAAGCATCCATCTAGCACACCCACACAGAGATAAACGTTTGCAATTTGCCGGATGCTTTAAACAATTAATAAATTTCTCGGCCCATATACACACAGGCACACACACACAAAGAGAAAACACACTCACACACACACATGCGTATGCTGTTGTAGTTAGAAATGCAAGTAAAAAAATTAATATGTAAAGTTTATGATTATTTAAAATAGTGGTAAAGAACGCAAATTGTGTCGACTGTGTACATGCATATGCGTACATGTACAGAGCGGAGAGGACAGCCAAGCATATTTAGTACGTTATGGATGTTAATAGAATTTAGGTAAACACAATATACTAATGAAAAATATAAATAAATAAATAAAGAAAAAACAATTTTTATTTTATTACAACAAATCATTATTAATGTTTTGTTCTCAAACCTTGATTAGGATGATAATAGAATGAAAATTGTTTCAATCATTTTTATATTTGTCATTTCATCACTTTTGCGCACAACCCGTCAAATATTTATAACAGCTAGCTTGTGTTATATCCATAAATACGTATTAAAGGCTTTGTATATCTTTCGTATCCTTCGTATATACATCTTCGGACAGCGTAAAATTGCACGCTAATTTAACGTGAGTTCCTCCTAAAATACTTCAGATCGCAGGAATTTTGATAGAAAGCCAACTTTCGGGCACCGATTAGGTTTACAGAGCGACGAGTTGTACTTACAGCCATCTCTGTAGCTGTACATAAACAGTGAAGCTAAAATCTGGGGCAAATATTTAGAATGCTATTAAATTTGCATGCACATGTGACTGCCATAATTACGGCCCGAAAGTACGCCAACGCAGTCAAGAGTGGCATGACATCAAACTAAAATATAATAATACTTAAGCGTACTTGGTCGACGGGCCCTGCGTAAGATCAAACTCAGTCTATGGACTGCGAATTATGTCCTGAGTTCTAGCTTCCCCTGGCAAGGTGCAAATGCTTTTCTTTCTGTTTTTTAGCTTTGTTTTGCAAAGGCCGTCATTTCGTAACTAATGAATGAAGAGATGATTCTCATAAACTTGTTAGAAAATTTATTAATATTGTTGTTGTGATATGTTTCTATTAGTGTTAGGGAAGAAATATTACCATTAAGTGTGAGCGATTTTAGCCGGTGTTATTTTAATATATAGAAAAGCGTTGATAAATTATAAGCTGCCGTATTATTATGTGAAAATAACACAAATGAATGTTTTTTCTATATGCAAGAAAAATTACAAGCCTATTTAAAATACGACAAAGAAAAAGTGAGCTTTTCACCATGAAAAGCTTACCACTCAAAAAAATGTAGATCTAAAAGCCAGATATTATGAGCCAAGTTCAAATAGATTCTAACAAGTGCTCGCTGATTCACTTCTCCTTTAATTTGCCAGAATTCGAAGTTCAAATACATTCTAACAAGTGGTCGCTGATTCACTTCATTTTATCCGAAACGGATAGAATAACTCACGCACGTCTGAATTGAATATATTTTGTAATTACATTTGCTTTCAGCTAAAATTGACCAAACTGCCTGAAACCATTGAAACCGCCACCAATGTAAACGCACTTGAAAAGACTTAAACTGGTGCAAGGATAACCAACCAAGATATAGGCTAGCCCAGCGTAAAGTGATCTCAGTGGAAAGCGCTACGAGCCGGATGAAGTAGATTCGTCCCACCAGCTACTATGACCTTCGCAGATTTCTCCTCGATTTCTGTCACAAAAAAAAAAAAAAAAAAAAAAATCAAACATCTAAAGTATTTAATAAGGGTGATAGCATCCAACCCTTTTCACACGATTTCAAATTAACATGGGCCCACCAATGGGAGCAAATACATTTTTTTTTACACAAACTGTTCTGACACGAATGCCAAAAAAAAAACTTTTTTAAAGAAACTTATATATACGTATTAATGGCTGATTTAATTCGCGTGGGCGAATCTTTCTATCCATTTATCTCCATTTCTTTTCAAATTTTTATCTTCGACTGAAGAATTTTCTTTCCTTTAAATTATTGGAGCACAAGATTTTGCAAATGTGAGAATAGGACCTCATCTATCATATATACTATAAGGTGCCGATTCGTAATCAATCTTTCGTAATGTTTTAGAAAGATTTATAGATAAAATGATCGTTAAAACAATATGAAGGTAAGAATAACACAAAAAGTATTCTTTCGTATTTTCTCAATTGTGACTGAAGTACGTTCTCCAATTAGTGAGTAAGAGGAACAGTTGTTTGTCATTGAAAACTTTTCAAGTAAATTTGAAAATAAATTTCCCATGTGCTATATGTAGAAATAGACGGGTTTAAAGATTTTTTGCGGGCAAAGGTATCCGCATAACTATTAGTAGTAATAGAGCTGAGAAAGCATGATTGCGTGCGTGGCGCTCTTCCTTCATCCGTTCGTGAGTTTATTGAATTGATGATTTCTACTGAATTCATTAAAGTAGCGAGATAGGATAACTGTAAGAATATCTTAGTCAACAAAGTAAGTTACATCATTTTTAAGTTAATCAGTAGTAATCAATATTTTGATTCTGCAATTTTAATTTGTCGTCTCCGCAAGATATCGGTACAAAATTAAGAGAAAAGGTTGATTATGAAAGTTCGGAGTGACATTTCTGTAACTAACAAAAACATTTTTAGCAGTATTTCCATGTAGACATAAGGGTGAGATAAGGTTTCGAATTAAAGTTTGTCTGGCGTAATAATTTGGTTTAAATCTTAAAGGATAAGATACTCTCAATCCCTTTTCGTGGGTTTTGTTAACGATAAATGTAGTCTTCATGAACGTTCTTGAATGGATCTCTACGCCTCAACCAAACGCCGAGCATTCCTATGTGGGGATTCTGTGCCAAGAAAAGTTTGTTTTGTATTACGATATGCCGTTGACGATTCGCTTGGACATAATGCTTCCAACTACTCAGTAGTTAAGTAAGTTTGAAAGATAACAAAAAGTAGATCACTTGATCAACTTTGTGCTCAATAACTTCCCATCAGACACGTTAAGAGAGCACGTAAATATAGCAGTCGCATAGGGTTAAAACAAATTTACTAATTTTTCGCACAAATTTTAACAAAGGCGCCAAAGATCCATGCAATCAATACGTATTATCTGAATGTCACATCTAGGACTGCCACTTGAAGCGTGTGCTAGATCTCCATGGCTTCTTTTGAAGGTGACCTCACAAGGAAGGAAAACTCGCAACAGTTAGTAAGAGTAGAGCCAAATTGTTTTTCAATTCTGCTCTCCGCGTTAATAATTTTATGTAAAATAATGGTTTTCAAAAGAAAAACCTTAAAGCTTATAGTCCGAGATCTTTTATGGAGAGACTTAGAATTATCCGTAATCTCCCTATTGAGTACGATGTTAAAGAGAACATTAAAAACACCGTTATACGTCTGCCGGTAGGCTTTGAAAAAGAAGTCCTGACAACAAGGATGAATTTATTCCGACAAACAGTATAAAAATTGGTTTTAAAAGAAAAGCCGATTAAGTTTAATTTTCGTAAACTTCCTGTTATCTACTTCGCTTCCGCCTTAAAACAAGGATTTAAGTGTGATAAGTATGGGCGTGTTTCTAAGTTTTCTAAACTCAAGACGACTAGGTGCCTTAATTATGGCAAGTCTCCTAAGTGTACCGAAAATTGTGAAACAATGGGATATCTGTGTTATGGTGCAAGTGCAAGTAAGCAAGAAGTCTTTCAATGTCTGGATGATAATTCCCTCCACTGGAGTATTCGTCCGTCATTTAGGCCAAGAGTGATAATAAGAATGTATAAGAGAATAAGATTCTAACAAAAAACAATTTAATGCAGTCGTCAAAAAGAAAACTTTTATTTCCAAGTCTTCTCCCACTTCACCTCCAAAAGCCGTCTATAACAAAATCTCGATGGTCAGTGAGTTCTAACAGCGAAAAAAATTTATGCGATTAAATAATGTATGCGTCCCAAGATCCCTCAGAATCTTATTAAGAAATTTAAAGAAAAAATTGTTAATTATGCTAATTCTCGTTACGATCAAGTGCCTAGTACTTCGAGTAAATCCTCTGAGATGCCGTTTTTATCTAATATATGATCTCTTTTTTATAATATAATATACAAAGTGTTCGACGTAACTTATAATTTTTCTATTTTTTTTTTTTTTGTGAACACGAATACTGTTGATTTTTGCCGTGGTGACGCACGTATTGAATGCTAAATCTAAGGTTTTTCAAAAATTTGAAAACTATAAAAGGCGAAAGACTCGTGGAAGACAAGTAAGTTCCAAACCGTACGCATTGAAGCTGGGACGATTTATTTTCACTTCAACCCGAAATTGTGTTTAACCGAAATTGAAACGCTTTTGCCTATGCTTAAAAATCAAACGAAATTCGACAAGAATGAGGTTTCTGAAGATTCAAATGGTTCACGAGAATCATGTGAGTGATAATTAAGCGGCATATATTAACGTCAGACGAGTGAAAATCAATTTAATTTTGTATTTTAATAAATTTTAGGTAACACAACATTCTTGAAAGTTACGCTTACTACAATAAATTCACAATTTGCCATCGTTGAGATATTAAATCCTATGAAATTTGAAGATGAGCGTACATTCATCGGTTATCAGTATTTGCATATTGAAGATAATTTTGGCAATGCCACCAAGCACGGATTTCGTCCGTGTGATGATGGGTAATTAATTCACTTTTAATCTTAATGTCATGTTTGAAAAAAATCTAAAATAAAATTGAATTTTTTTTTACTTTCGACTTAATTAGATGGACAATTAGCTTGCCGACCAAAGAGACTCGTTATTTTTTTCTTAATCTGAACCCTTTCACGCAATATGCTTACTATGTGAAGACGATGACTATATCAACTGAACGACGCAATGCCCAAAGTCCAGTGCAACGTTTTATAACTAAATCGGATCAACCTAAGTTTGTTAATAAATTGCAAGCTTATCCCAATTCCAGCTCAGAAATTGTTATGACTTGGTTGCCGCCTACATCGGCAAATGGCCAATTGAAAATGTACAAGATACGCGCAGTATTAGTTCGAATTCAAAACTCTGAGTCCAGAAACTATTGCAAAGATCGTAAGTAAAGCAGACCTTAAAAAGAAAGCAAGCGAAGAAATTCATTTTGCTTTTATTCTTTAAAGCTCTGAAGGAGATTAAAATTGAAAACCCAAAAATTGAGAGTCCGCGAACAGAAAAGCCTCCAATATCCGAGGGTTGTAAATGCCCTAAGCCTAAGGACTCTGTATACGATGACGAAAATGCTGATGCAAATATACATGCTAGTATCGAGTTGGAGAACACCCTCCAGAATTTTATATACGTAAAGTAAGTGCAAAATAG